AGAGGGACGGGCGTGGGCGGGGGCCGGGGCCGCGGCCTGCGGGGACAAAGGGCGCGAGCGAGGCGGCGGCAGCTGGCGGGAAGGTCACGTGAGCGGCGGCGGGGAAGCCGAAGCCGGTTCCGCCATGCGGGGCGGGGAGGGGAAGGAGGGCCGGGCCGGGCCGAGCGGGGCGGCCGCCGCTGGTGTCACTTCCTGCCGCCCCCGCTCCCGGCGCCGAGGGCACGGCAGGGAGGGGAGGGCGGCCGCTCTCCGCCGCCATCTTGGTGGCCTTCACGTGATGCGCGCCCGGGCCGCGATTGGGCCGCGGGCGGGGCGGAGCCGGGGCGCGGCCGGCGCGCGCGGCCCGGCGTGACCCGGTGGCGCCCCAAGGTGACTCGAGTGACCTTCGCGCCGGCCCCGGCCGTGGGACTGGCCGCTCCTCACTCGCCTCCAGCCCCTGTCCCTGTGGCTGGCACCTCTGTCTCCTAACGCGCCTCTTCATGGCGATTCCCACCACAGGCCTGTCTTTGTCAGTAAAGGCTCTCACCTCTACGTATGCCCGATGTATTTGTCTAATGCTTGCTCTTGTACCTCACAGAATCAGTTTGGTAAAGACCTCAGGGAGATCATGGAGCCCAACCTAATGCCACGTAGTCTAATTTAAAGTAGACTGTAGCACTAAGTGCCACGTCCAGTCTTAAACGCCTCTAGGAATGGCTGCTTCACCAGTCCCTAGGCAGTCCATTCCAAAGTCTAATCACTTTTTTTCTGAAGAAATTCCTCCCCTAGTTCCCCCTAAACCTTCCTTGGCACAGCTTGAGTCTGTGTTCTGTTGTCCTGTCACTAATTGCCTGGGAGAAGAGGCTGGCCCCCACCTTGCTGCAGTCTCCTTTCAAGAAGTTATATAGGAATTGCTAGCAGTTTTATATTCTTGTTTTGTAAAGTCCTGATTTCTGAGAAAGCTTGGAAGCAATTTTAAGTCTTTTTGTTTAAAATAACAACAATGGCCACTCAGAACTAACAACTTTTGTTTTATAGTGGAAGCAGGTTTAAGCCTAGCTGCAGCATAGACCTGTCGAGGCAAGTGATCAATATTTGTGATTTTATTTGCAGGTGCAACATGCGAGTAAACAGATTGCTGCTGATAAGCAGTACAAGGGTATCATCGATTGTGTAGTGCGTATTCCAAAGGAACAAGGAGTGCTGTCCTTCTGGCGAGGAAACCTGGCAAATGTCATCAGATACTTCCCAACTCAAGCTCTTAATTTTGCCTTCAAGGATAAGTATAAGCAGGTGTTTTTGGGAGGTGTAGACAAGCACACTCAGTTCTGGAGGTATTTTGCTGGTAACCTGGCATCTGGTGGTGCAGCTGGAGCCACTTCCCTCTGCTTTGTCTACCCCTTGGATTTTGCAAGAACCCGTCTGGCTGCTGATGTTGGAAAAGCTGGTGCAGACAGAGAATTCTCTGGTCTCGGGGACTGTCTAGTCAAAATCACCAAGTCTGATGGTGTGCGTGGCTTGTACCAAGGGTTCAATGTCTCTGTCCAAGGCATCATCATCTATAGAGCTGCCTACTTTGGGATCTATGATACAGCAAAAGGTAATATTTCAGAGGGGACCTGAAAAGCCTGTTTTTAGAATTGTATTGTCTGTTTTGGATATGTGAAGGGGCATATTAGTGCTACATTTGTGACACTGCTGTATACAAGGGAAAATCATTGTTAAAGGCAACAGCGTTACCTGCAAGTACTGGTTTTGTACTTCAGGCAGTTGCTCCTAAGGCCAGGAGAGTATGTTGGTGACCAGACACAATTAGAATAAATTTCTTTTTTGTTTGGTGCATACTGAAGTAACACTGGACCAGTCCAAGTGTGTTTAGCAGAATGGGATTGAGCAGTGGTTTTGCAAAGTAATTTTTAAGCTTGACATTTAAGGAAATAAACCATTGATGCTAGTTTGTAATGTAAAAATATCCACAGGGACAGCAACTTACTTTAGTGATGTTTCTTTAATAAAAGCAGAGTGAATAGTCAAGTCTTCTCATGCCAGTCTAAAAAGAATGCTTGTGCTTAAATTGTAACCTACTGTGATTATTGAGAAAAAAGTCTTGCAAGTACAGCTTCACTATATTTAAAGTTTGTGAGGTGTTATGCTGCAATTTTATTTAGAGTATGGGTCTTCAGTGTTTCATACTAGTTCATCTAGTAAAATAGCTGTCATGCAGGAAGTGAACCAGAGGAGGATGTGCAAGGTGAAAAGCCAATTGCTGTTTTTGTTTTACTGCAGGCATGCTCCCAGATCCCAGGAATACTCACATTGTTATCAGCTGGATGATTGCCCAGACAGTGACTGCTGTGGCTGGCGTGGTCTCCTACCCTTTCGATACAGTGCGGCGTAGGATGATGATGCAGTCAGGACGCAAAGGAGGTAGGCTGCAAGTCCACAGAGCTGTCAATGCTGTGTGAAACAGCATTAACAAGATGGAGTTGTTTTTTTACTAGTAGCTATCCTCAGAGTTGCAGTTCACTGTTCCATAAATCTGGTTTATTATATTGTACTCCAATGAGGAAATGCAGTAAGGCTCAACCTGAGATTATCAGGATTTATGCTGAGGATTTTTCATTATGGAACATGAAATTAAAAAAAATGGACTGCCTGTTTGAATTGCTAGATTAAATAAAGATATTAAAAAGGGGGCAAAATATTTTTAGTAAGTATTGTGTTACAGTTTTAAATTGTGGTTTGGGACATCACAAAGCAGTTAAGTGAAACGGGGCAGTTGTTAAAATTACCTGAGATGAAATAGGAATTAAGAATAACTCTTTGCTCTTTTCCTGCAGCTGATATCATGTACTCTGGAACAATTGACTGCTGGCGGAAGATTGCAAGGGATGAAGGAGGAAAGGCCTTCTTCAAGGGTGCATGGTCTAATGTTCTCAGAGGCATGGGGGGTGCTTTCGTGCTTGTGCTGTATGATGAATTCAAGAAAGTAATTTAAACAGCCTAAATAGAATTGGGAATCAAGTTGAGCAGATCATGTAGAATAACTACCATTATGGACCATTGACCTTCAAGAAATTCCTGTGAGTCTTATTTATCGGAGCCAGATTATACTTGTAGATGGGGCTAGAAACTGACATAGAGGGCTGATCCACTTCTCTGTAACATGCATGAAAACACTGAATCTGGCAATTCAGTGTGACAGTTTTTCTTTACAGCAGTAAGGAATGAGTGGCGTTGGTTCTGGGTCCAAAGTTGTTAGGTCCAATTTAGGCAGAAAAACTATCATTTGCCTGTGGATCAGTCTTCAGTTTCAAGTCCTATCTTATAGGACCATAAAATTGTATTTGAAAGCATTTGCTAACAAATCATGTTTTTTTCCACTTGTACTGAAGCACTATGTACCATTTTGCACAGCTGAACATCTAGCAACTTTGTTCTTAAATTGGGGCATTCTGCTGTAAAACAATAAACATACTTACTCAGTCTGTGTTGAAATTATTACATAAAAGCCTTTGAAAAGCCTCTTGTATTTCAAAACTTGTTTCAGATAATGGGTCCTCTGATACCTTTACATAAATAAGCTTTTTAAAAAAATTATTAAATGCGAGATCTTTAGAGAGGAGGGGTGGGCAAGCATGGGTTATACTAATAGAAACCACTCCCATTCTTTGTGCCTGATAGTGTATGATGGGCTGCTGCAAGTGGCTTTTTGCATGATTCTTAGAAATTGATTTACAACTTCTATTACTTAAATTATGGGGTTGGGGGTTGTAGTGCTAGGAAAACCCAAAGTACCAAGGACTGTTGAAAAGTAATGCTCTTGCCCTTGGTAAAACAGCCTAAAATAAATATTTTTTTTGTCAAATCAGTATGGAAAGCATCATGGCATTCATGCAAAAACCCAGGAACCCAGTAAATGCCTTCAACTTCTGAGTGACCTATGTATTGTATTGTTGCTGCGGGTTGGAAATATTGATAGTGCCATTCAGGCACTGTTTGGCCTCATCTGCAGCAGTGGTCAGTAGCTCAGTGGAAGGTTGAATTTAATCTGAAATGAGTTGCAGCCTAATAGGTGAAGTCAAGGGTTGTGGGGGAAGGAATGTGTGTGCTTCTATGTAGCTGTAAAATAATAGCTCAAAGTAGGTCAGCCTTCAGTATTAACTGACTGATGTTTAGGGATGGTCAGAAGACCAGATTGAGTAATTTCTCATAACTGCTCTTTGAGATAATGTAATACCTATGTGCTGTTCTTCATATGTATATAATCTTTTGTACTTTGTAATCTGCAAAGACATCCTAGAGGGACCAGTAGAGGAAACCAAGGTGTTAATCTTCACGTTTTAAGAGCTCTCCCTATATCTTGAGAAAGAAAAAGTGTCACTGTATGACTCATTGAAGGCTGACTGAGCTGTCTTGAGTTCTTCTGTGTGCCTTCTGAGATTGCTATTCAAGATGAAGTATTTAAATTACCTGCTTGGCTTTGGCTGGTTATTACCTTCCTCCTGAGTGTACTTTTTCCTTTCACTGTTGCACAAGCACTGCTTTCAACATCTGTATGTGAATGTAAGGACATTACACAGCTACTTTGTACACAGGCTACTGGCAAACTTCATGTACCTACTGCAAGTGGTTCTTACATCCTGTGTGGCAGTAGCAGCTCCCTCATGCAGGCAGGTCACTTGGTGTTTACCCTACCAGTCAGTTCTCTGGGGGAGCAGGGGAAGACATTTTGTCTATAAAAAGCATTAATCAGGTTTCTTTCTGTATCAGTGCCTTGCAAGGGTAGAGATGATTATGGGATACCTCCCTGTGAGAGAGTCCAAGCTTTGTGAGAGAAGCCAAATGTGGTTACTTCAGCAACCCCTGACAGGGACAGGACTTACACACCCAATCTCTCCTTCAGAACAAGGTTTAACCAAAAGAAATAGGAAAAGATACAAAACCTCCCAAATTTGCTCTAAACCAGGACACAAACTGCAATTTCCCTATGCTGTACATTGAATATGAACTAATTTGTGGTGTTCAGGTTTGTTTTTATTTTTAATATATGGCTTCCCTTAGTCATGCAGCAGCAATTTCCAGTGTGTGATGCAGTTTAGGGATGTAAGAGGCAAACAATAAATGAGTCTTTTAAAAAAAACATTTGTCCTCTGTCTTATTGAAACACTGAAATTCATTCATTTTGAATAGTATAAACAGGAAAACATCCAGCATTTGTAAAAGAAAATACTGGCATCTAAAGCCTATATTATTTTTAAAAGGCATTGGAAGTAGCATTTGCACCCTTTGAAGGGAGAAACTAAAATGTGTTTGTTTTTACATTTAAGATCTAGCTATTTAAATATTAAATTTTATTTCATTTCTTAACAACTGTTGGATTTTTTTGAAGGCTTTCAATGCTATTTGTGTTACTGAAGTACATACTAAAACTGCACAGGATCACAGTGTTGCAGAGGTCTATTTACAGTTGCAATACTGAGCTCATGAAATGGCTGACTGAGACCAGTATAAGTAATTATATTTGACAAGTATAATTTTATTTTCTGTTCTTGCATAAACTTAATTGCACATATTGGTATAGCTTGGTGGTGCTGATTGGAAGACCAAAGAGCAAATTTTGACACATTCTAAATAGCTGGTTTGCGCTTTAGAAAATAACTGGGCATATAAAAATTACAGTATAATTGCTGTGGCATTATACAGCAAGGCTGTCAGCCTACAGGAAATCATTATAATGAGAGGCAAGAAGCTTCATAGCAATGACAACAAAAAGTAACAGCTTCATTCTGGTTAAGAGGGCTTGTCTCACATTGTGAAGAACCTCTTAGCAAGGTTCAAGCACTTCTTCAAAGTAGGTGCTTGCAGAAAAGCTTCGTTGCCAGGTTTGAACAAAAGGAAAAGAGCAAATTTCACTGATTTTTCTCCCTTTTTTTTTATCTGCTCCATTTAAGTGGATTTTAAGGAGGCAAACAGTTCTATAGGTGATTATATTCTTTTATAGATTGGTTTGAAGTACTTGTCAGCAGGATCCGTAATTTTCTTTCATGTTGGGGAATCAGGTGTGTTTTTGGAAAGTCGGATCATTCCTCAATTGTAGTTATTTTCTCAGGGTGACTTTTCGTTGGTAGATTTACATATTCTGTCTAAAGGGAAAGAAAATTCTGTATCATGCAGTAGGCTACAAGTTGGTATCATTCTGAACATTAGTTTCAGCAGTACCAAAGGCATCCCATCTTGGTCTTATAATACTTAATAAATGATTTCAAGGCAGGAGAAAACAGTTTTAAGGACAGTTAAGGAATGTTTCAATATATCTGAGCAGTACTTGCTGTCAGCAGGAGGAAGAACAGAAGCTGGTTTAGACACTGGACAGCCTTGGCTGAGAAAATAGAAGGAATTTATTCAAAATTTTCCATATGTAGGCATTTGCTTGGCATCCAGGTAAAATATGTTGGTTGCTATCACACATTTTTACATTGGCTAACCTAGAGTTCTAGGAGAGTACCTGCTGTTAGGTAAGATTGTAGTACTCATAGAGCACTTGGAGTTTAAAGTTTTGAGGGAAGATAAATAATTTTAAAAAAATGGGAGGGATAGTACTGATGGGGAAAACAGGTTGAAAAAGCAAGCTTGCTGTTGTACTGAGGGTATGTTGTGGAACATCAAACCAGGGTGTTCTGGAAACTTCTTTTCTAGGAAAGCTGAAGAATGGGTAAAGCACTGCAGGGCTTTGTGGTCATGGTGTTTTGGGCTACTTTACTGTTCTCCAAGGAAAATGCACAAAGAGTGTATCTTGCAAGTTCTTGGAATATATTTAACTCCAAGCAAGAGGCGATAAAACTCGGTAATGGTGAGGAAAGCATATGGGGAGAGTGACTAGAAAGTCATTGGTCTGTAGTAAGATGAGTAAAATAGAATGGATTAGAGGAGTGCAAGTTGTGTGATGCACTAAATTATTTGGTTGGTAGGATCTTGAAGCAAATAAAATTGGCAGTTCTTTAACGTGACTGTTTTAAGGATGCAGTGCAAAGAGTTAGGTTTTTTTAATCATGAGCTTTTCCAGCTATCTCAGAAAAAGTATTGTGTAATAGGAGAAAAGAATTAGAAAATGTGAAAGGTCGTTGAGTAAACAGAGGGAAAAGGAGGAAATGCAAACTTTAAATAGGTATGATTAGCAAAGGATATTGCAGGTTTCAAAACAGCTCAAAAACCCATTAGCACTAAATGTCAGGGAGAGTGTTGGGTATTCAGTGGAGGAGAGCTTTTGAAAATGTACTTTTTGTACTGTGTTATTAAAATAACTTTGAAGAATTACAACATTCAATCAGTGTTAAAGGTACTGAGTTTGGAGAGAAGAGGTAAAATAAAATTAGATTTTAAGAGTAGATCAAACTGTTTAAACATGTCAAAATCATATGAATTATCTTCACAGCAGTGGTTGGCAAGTGTTAGGTAATGTGAGGGCTTCATTTAACTCTGGCAGCTGCTGCTGCATTGCTCCCTGCATGGATGTGCCTGAGCCACAGTTTGCAGACCTCATCCACAAAGGCCTCTGGGTTGTAGTGGAGTGATTTGAGTGTGTTTGGTAGTGTCTGTGCACAGGAATTTGAAAGCCACTCAAGTTCAGGAAAGGCAAGCAATCACTATTCAATTTTCAATTTTACAAATACAGCTTGTTACTTTCCTAACTATATTATTTAATGTGATGGACTGTGGACTGCTGCTGCTCTGTAGCCAGCTCTGGCTGCCTGGTAGGAAGTGAGAAACCGGGTATTTATGACTTAAGGTGCATGAAGAAACCTATCTAAGTCACAGTCCTACCTACTTTCTGTGAAAGCCAAAGGTGGTAGGACCAAGCACAAATTAAACAGGACAGCAAGCTGGTATATAGTTACCAAAACTGGAGAGTTTTAGTAGTCAGAGATTTGGGGATTCTTTGTAAACGATTGAAGGAAAATATATGTGTCACTTTTGGAATCCTCATTGGAATGTGTGGTGTTGCTCACTGAATTTTAGGCAATTAATGACTAACCTGATTTACTGACTTCAAGAATGTCTTTGCTTTAGCCAAGCATGAATGGTTTGAAGCCTGGTTGTCGTCATGTGTGTAGAAAGAGAGAAGAGTTACTTGCTGTTGACAGTGTGCAAGTGTGTAAGATACTGTAAACAGGAAAGGAATAAGGGTAAAAAGTAATGGATTTTAGGTGCATTAAACCAAGCTATTAAAAAGGCTTTTTAAAAGTAAGGTTAAATAAACACACAGAATAGGCTGCACAGGGATGCTACAGTGTACTGGTCAAATACAATTTGCACAAAACACTGAAATTGCAAATCCTGTGTTGAAGCAAGAGGAAGTTTAACTGTTAAGCCTTTCCAGCCTTGTTGATTTACACTAAGTGTGACGGGATTTTTACATGGGTATAGGTCAGGCTTATGAAATACATATTCACATTATGTTATGACCATTGGTGGTTGAAAACGCTAATAGAAAATGCATCCTCACTTTGGGTCTTTTTAAAGTATGAACAGCAACCTTGCAAAGCTGGTACACACAGAAATTACAGTAAATTTACACTCAGTAAAAGTGTAAATTCTGGTCTTAAAATATGTCTGCAAATATCTTCAGGACAAGCTTTTGTTTCAGTGTTGGCATAGAGCATTTCAGGTTTCAAAGCAGAATAGCTTGCATGACAGGAATTAATTTTGGACCGAATGTTAACATTTATTTTTATAAGTCAGTTCTTCTAGTCTTTGGCCTGTTGTGGTTTGTAGTTAACAAATTTGACTGAATTGAGAAGAAATCATACCTGGATATCTTCATCAGTTAATGCACTGAATTTGTCTCTTGGTTGTGGTATGGGAGGAAATAGGTTCTTCAAACTGCAGTACCTTTGGGTAGAAAATGGGATTGTGGAGAAATTGAAAATACTGCTAATATAATTCACACAAACATTTTGTGGTGTAACTTAAGGACATTTTTTACTTTCAAGATTGAGTATCTATTGCTCTACAAATTAAATGAGAAATAAAATATTTTCAGTGGGGTAACTGGTGGGTAACTATTATTACACTTAACATTTGGGTGATTAAACTTTATTTTGTGATTAAAATCACAGTAAATAAGTTATTAATAAATTACTTTGAATAAATCAAGTGACATAACTTTCACCCCTGAGTGAGAAGTTTTCTCACAATAAGAATATGTTAATTTGGATTCCCTTTTGTCTGGTACTGTATATAGCCAATGGCTTCAAAGCTACCTGGATGTTAAATGCTTAAAAATAGGGAAAAAAAAGCTTTTGTAGGATCTGGTAGAATCAATCACTTAATAACTTCAACATCCTTTCCCCCTTTTCCACTTAGTGATTTTGCATGCCAAAGGGCCATTCACAGCAATCCTGGTGGTAATAGTTCATGACATTGATAATCAGATTATTTTAATTTGCAGGTAGGAAAGTAGGAGGTTGTAGGAATGTGTTTCATATAGATAATACTTTGTCATTAGTGTTTACAGAAAAAAAGTTGATTTACCTTTTGAGAAGACAATACAGGAGAAGTGCAATTGAGATTGTTCCAAGTGCAATCAGAAATAAAATCACAAAAATAAAGTAATCTTTCCCTTGACCTGATACAGGCAAGAGAGAGAAATATTTTAGCATGGTAAAAAGCTGCCTTTGTGACTGTACGATGTAAGGAATGAGAATTTCACTACATTTTTTTAATGTTCTGAAGGACTTCAACTTGACTTCATTATAGAATTTCGTCCAAAAATGCAGAGGGATTTAATACATTTTAAACCTTTTCAGATATTTAAAATTAGAGATTTATTTTTTTTTTTTAGTTCTGGAAAAAGAGAATAAACTGACTTACAGAACAATTAATAGAGCAAAATTAGTGAAGAGAAAGATGCAGAAGGAAGAGGATGATATTCATATAAAAACTTAAGAGAACAGAGAGGCAGCCTCATCACAGCAGACCAAAGACAAGAGTGGGTCTGTCTCTGTTTCTGTGGCCTTGGCATCTGAGTAACTGCTGCCTTCACAATGCCAGCTAATCAAAGGCTCTGCTGCCAGACTATTGGAGCTACTCCTCCCATTAATAAAATCCATCCAGTTCCTTCCATGTAATTGGGTCAAAATTAAGATTTTATTAATTTATGTGACTATAAGGAAGAAAAGGAAGTAAACAAGGTAATACTGAAAAAAAAATTTATGGTCTTACCAAACTCAATGGGTTCACTCCATTCCCCCCAGTCTGAGCTTACAAGACAGTTTTTCCCACGTGCTCTGATTTTCAGAGTGTATCTTTTTTTCTCATTGTAATTTTGGAATTCATATCTATCATTCCTTACCTAAAAGGAAAGTGATTAGACTCTGCATTTCACCTCATAGTCAAATATTAACAAAGTTTGTGGGTAAATTTTCTGGTACAATTTCTAAAAAAAAGATTTGGATGATTTTTTTTTTTTTAGGTATGCACTTGCACTATCTTGCCTGCAAAACTATCTCATTTTTGAAGGTTAAATTTTTTTTAAGTTTATTTTGTCTTTGATTTCTTTTATTATGCTTTATGGACACCTTTTTTTTTGTGTCCTTGTTTGTGGATCCTAAAGAAATCTGAAAGACACAAAGCTGAAATTGGAGAAGCACCCTGTAAACTGCCCTTGCAATCTTAATGGGGTTTAAAATGTATGGATGGTGTCACTCATTGCTAAAAAGATTTAATGTTCTTGAGACAATACAATAACAGATAAGTTATATTTGGCCTCATCTTGCTTTATACAAAGTCTGGAATCTGTCAAGCCCTTCCAAGGCTTAGAAGACCACTCATTTTTTGAGGGAAGACTGACAGTATTTATTAAATTCCCCAGGTTTTGAAGATTGTTGTGCTCCCTTTGCCTAGCTGTCCTGAGCTATCAGTGGTATTACTCCAATGAGAAAGAGTATTTCAGGTTTTTAATAAGCAAAATGTCACATCTGTCAGGAACAAAATCTATTTGTGCAATAGATGGAATGTATGAAGTTTTGTGAAATGCATGGGAATTTTTGCCTACCCCATCCAAAGTGGATATATTCAGTTTACATTTAAAGATATCACAGGAACATATTTTTCTGAATTCTCATTGCTACATTGATACAAAACCTGTAGTTCTATAAGTGTATTTTCTGTAATGGTATTTATATGCCTAAGGAGGCAAAAGCACAAATTCATATGTGACAAGAATACTTACACGAGGAAGATTTTTCTCTTCTGTGGGCTCATCCTGCAAAACAAAGACAAATCTTAATTTTTATTATTTTTTATCAATCAAATATTTCTCTAGACTGTTCTCATTTTCTTGCTTTTGAAGATCATAAGTTATTTTGAACTGAAAAATCAATCAGATATAATTCTCCAGTAATCTCCCAGGATAACAGCATTTTATTCAGTTTTGTTTTCCTACACTTCCTTTTAGGAAAGGAAGGAAATATTAATTATTTATCAGTAGGTGTGAGAAGATGTATTTACCACTAAGTGTATTTTTATACACACTGTGCATTCTCATCCATATCCAAATTACGCAAGCAATCACATCATCCTACAAACACAGCAGATCTGGAAGCTGTGATTTCACAATAGTTTGTGAAAACTGACGTGAATAGCGAATTTACCCTCCTTCCTGTCAAAGTCTCTGTTAGACTTATCCATGCTCAGAGGCTTTCTGTGAAGAGCTGCTTACACATCCTATGCAATCAAAACTTAATTAACTGGAATCAAACATTGACTTGGATCAAAGAACCTGAACATTTTGAAGAAAAAGATAGGTTCAAAAATGAGTGAACAAATTCAACAGCAGTGACTTTTAGCAATGACTTCAGAAAGCATCAAAAAGCTGAGGTCCTGGAAACATCTATCACATGTAATATCAGGATAGCCAGCATTATGGAAAAGTCAGAAAGGTATAACTGGAAGGGATGTCTCATTACAGAAAACACACCCACAGTGTGTCTTTGACTGTAAAGAAGCCTAGCATTTCCCCATCACTCACTGTCAGCTGAGTGCTTTCAACTTAGGAGGTGAAGGAAGTCATCAGCCTGTGCTGGGAATGAGCAGGGTGCAAATGAGTTGCCTAAACCTTAGTTGCTTTAGCTGTCTTACCTCTGTTGGTCTCTCCTGGAAGGTGTGAGTTCTAGCTGCCACCTCCATGTCAGTACTGCTGGGACCTTCAGCACCTGGAGGGCTGTGAGGCACCTACTGCTCCACAGCAGGGAGCCCTGGTGGCAGTGACCCCCAGGAGATATTCGTGCTCCTCTGCAGACACCTGCATTACGGTGTCTCAGCCTAGGAGATGAATTTCCTACTCAAATGTAGAAATCTACACTGAACCCCACCCATTCTGATTGTGGCACAGGGAACAAGAGTTAACGTGTATTTCTTTCAAATAAATGTTTTGACTATATTGTTATATTGTGATCTATATCTTTATGTAAAACTTCATAAGGATTTCACACAAGATCTTACTGTCAAATTATGCCAACCAGCTGGAAAGCAGCATTGGCTGCAATTGCTCCTTGTACCAATAGGTACCAAGGTAGATACTATTAATGCGTGAAAGATACAAAATCCAGATAATCCAAACAGCCTGCAAGCTGTTGATCTTGTTTTTAATAAACAAATGAGATTTAAGGATGTATTGCTTTATTGTAGTTGTGGATTTATGTTTAACCCTTAGCTGATCTTTCCTGTAATGGTCTTGTGGCTGAGCAGTTGCTACCATGGTAAGCCTCTGAGCTGCAGAAGTTGATGACAGCTAGGATATGAGACCAGGAAAACTGTAGCAGGAGGACACTACAGCTTATGAGAGACAAATTGACAAATAAAGAAGTCAGAAATGTACATATTATAGATATGCATGAGCATAGGTACGGTACCAAACACAAACCAAGAAATTGTTTTTACCTTATTTTGTATGCTAATTTCATACTGAAAACACTTTGTGTTTTCCACATGACTTGTAAGGGGTGGATGCCACGTAATTATGCAACTCATAGGATCTCTGGTACAATGGGCAGTGACATTTAATGGAGCAGTGAGTATTTCTGGGGGAAAAATGGAATAATTAATATAGGCATGGTCAGTAAACAGTCACAACTCCTGCCTTCACAGCAAAATGCATGTGAAGGTGGGGCAGCTGATGTACAACTGTGGGCTGCTGGTGCTAACTGAAGTTATCTGGTAAATAGCAGTAAAATACCTACACAAAACTTGAGAATATATCACTGCAGTTTTTGGACAACTGAAGTAAATGAAGTTCATGTAAAGAAAAGGTATGAAAGATTTTGTGTAATTCACTAGTGCAATCAGCAGAGTGCCATTTTCTTCTACATCTGTTTTCCAACCTCACATTGACAATGCAAGTTTCCATAGGAAAAAGGAAGTTTTTGTGTTTGTGGTATTATTCATGATGCATTCAAGACATCTGAATTGGAGTGCCTATAATATAGTTGACTCAGTGTGACCTGATTTCTCCTGGGGCTTAAATACCTAATTCACAGAGGTACCCACATATTTAACTAACGCCATCCTAATTTGGAAGCTGAACCTCACTCTGGTTTTAGGACATGTAGCTCTTGTGGCTCTCAGAGAGGTGTGAAGTTAAGGGATGGAAAAATAAGCCCTTAGGAAAGGTGGCCTTGAAAATCTGACCATTGAAAACCAACCCATCAGGGCTCCCTGCTGTGAAGCAGTAGGTGCCTCTCAGCCCTTGAGGTGCTGAAGGTACCAGCATTACTTGGAATCCATGACTATGTCCACACCTCTTGTCTCAGCAGTTTTCTTCAGGCTGCCTCTGCTTGTTTTAGTCAAGTTTTGGAGCTGTATTCTGTCAGCTGTTGGAAGCTAAGTCTGCCCTGCAGTGCAGGATCCTGCAACAGCTACAGACTTTGTTTTAATATGCTTTTCAAGAAAAATTCCCCACTTCCTTATTTTATAAAACAGTAATAAAGTAAAATGCTCAATTACTTACCAATTTTATACAGGTCAATGTACTCATCATAGAACTGGATCAGAGAGTCTTTGCTAGACCCATTCACCAGGAAGTAAGCTTTTTCAATCCCTATGCTCACGTTTTGGAAGATGCATCCCACATTTCGGCAATTTTCATCTTTAATGTAAAGCTCACATTCCATCTCCTCTTCATCTCTGCATACAGCAAAATATTTTAGTTAAACATGTGGTGTGCTGAATGAGAATTCAGACTTTCCTGTCTCAAGCAGACCTACTTACTTTGACTTCTGCCAGTAGAGAAAATACTGTGTGTCTGCTGGAGCATCCCTTCCTGCCTGCCAAGTGCAGTTCATGAGGAAGATGTTATAAATCACACAGGAGAAGTTTTCAATGGCTGAGCCCTTCATGCCTGCAAACACAGGAATATCCATGGTGAGGAAAAATCATGTGACTCCTCCAAGCTGGAGGATCACGGCACACACTTAGCTGTGTTAGACACCTGCAAGCCCAGCTAGGTATTGCTTGGGTTAGGAATGACAACTGAGAGAAAACTCTACTCTCACTCCACTTTAACTGCCTCTGAACTGTGAAACTTGTCAGTGAAGCATTCCACATGTAAAGGAAGGCACATTGCCTTTTAATACCATCCATGCTGCTACAAAGATAAGTATTTCTTCTCTTGCAATTAACATCCAGGAAACTACTCCTGATGTGTTTACACAGAAGATTTAAAAAGCTGAGACTTTTAAAGTGAGGTTGGACTTTTTCCTGCTCTCCAATCTAGCAGGCTCATCCTTAGATCTTTCCACCTTCATGTGGGTGACAGTGACATGTTCTTTTGCTTTTCTGGAGCACATTGAAACAGGAACCTCGTTGGTTTTGGAGGTTCCTCATGGCTGGGCTGTGCAGGCATGCTCAGCCTCTTCCTCTCTTCTTCAACCACTTTTCTGCTTCTTACTGTGCTATGTCCTAAATTCAGTAAAAGCCTGGAGGCTTCCTGTGCTACTGACTCCATCCCTCTCCAGTGCCCAATAAAGAGGGCAGCCTTATGGGAGAACAGGGGAATCCTCTGAGGAAGCTGCACACTTGGAAGGTAGCACCAGCAGGGGAGACACACTGAAGTTTTGGGTGTTCTGGCTTATATTTTGAGAGTCACCATGAATGTTTCCGCTGACAAATCTACAGGAAGAGAAGAGCAGTGAGCATTTTCCGTGCTCAGACATGAGAAAGCTGCTGATCCATCACCTCTGTCCTGTCTGAAATACCCCAGTTACACACAACTGCTGCACCCCTGGTGGACAGGGAATTTTAATGGAGAACTCTGAGCTGAGAAGGAAGGGAAAAATGGGTCACAACAAACTCATCAACAGCCCAGTAGAAAGGCATTCAATAAATAAGTACTAACATCTTAATTTGTAACAGCCAGAAGTGTTATTTGACTCCACCCTTAAACCACTGTAATTTCTTAGCATTTTGGAGCCTTAGTATAAAAGAGAATAATGAACTTATGGATGCATTTGTTGTAATACATCTCTTGCAGAATGATGGAGACATTTATTACAGAGCAAATAATTTTAACAGATCTGGGAAAAAAAGCTTTTAATAGAAAATATAGCAGTTGCCTACTATGTAAGTAACTGTTTTCTAAGGCAGTGTTTACCTTTAAAAGATTGCAAATGCATAAAACCTTAGCCAGATCATATACATTACCTCCAGGGAGAAAGCTGCATTGTTTTGAGATGTTTGTGTTTGGCACTTCAATGACAAAGGTTAGCCCTTTGTGCATAGGCATGTGTAGTTCCACTGGAAAGCTGCATAGTGGACTATCCACCTGTAAAGAGAACATGGTATTTTATTTCTCTGCTTTTCCTCTTCTGATGTTAGATGAGGCTGGCTATGGAAGTGCAACTCAGGACTGCAATTGCATGTATATGCATGTTTTTGGTTCAAAAACTAGCTCTCTCCTTTAGCACTCAAGGGTGATATAGAATGGAACTGAGGGATCAAAGACATAACTACACAAAAAGCTTTGCAGCTCAGGAGTTGGATACTACACTAGTGTGCAACTATTTTAGGAAACTAATAGTAGCCCAGGAGGATAACAGAAGATGGCTAATACATAGGGGAGCCACAAAGGAATTTAATCGAAGGATTAAGCAAAACAAAAGTCCTCATCTGACCTGCTCAGGGGTTAAAAACTGTCTGTGCTGTTATACATATAATCTTCAAAAAAGATGTGATGTATTTTGTACTGTGTATTTCTAAGGCACCTACTTTGCTAGGCTAAATAAGCCATCTTTATCTCCGTTGAGCTTCCTATTTTCCTCTTTTGATAATGTGGGTTTATAACACAGCCTGTGCTACAGGCATGATCCTGTTTACTGGGAAACAAGTGAAGAATTTAGGATTACCATAATCCATGGCAGTGTTTCTGGGATTTTTTTTTTTGTGGGGGGTCTCTTGCTATGTCTCTTTAAAGTCTCTAGAGGTCTCAATCTCTCAGCCCCTTTTTTTCAGCAGCTGCATCCCTGCTCATGATTCAACATAGCTGCAGTTCAGGCTGTCACTTTCTTTCTACTTTGGTGTCAGAATTTCAATTCTTTAGTATGCATTGGGTGCTCATCTCACAGTAAATGCACCCTGCCATTGCTGATGGCTTTCCACAGCCCCTAAGAGATCAAGCTGTAGACTGCAAACATGTCAGATGTTATCTGTGACATTCATTTTTTTCAAAGTAAATGAAATTGATAAAAGGTACAATTATTTCTCTCAATGAATAGCAAGTTTACCTCTGTGTCTATATATTCCATGCCTCTGTCCATGATGATACATTTGTACTTGGAGAAATTCCTGCTGCTCTCCCAGGACAGTCCCATTTTTCTCCAGTCCACATTCACATTTGTAATAGGTGATTCCTGTGTGTCTGCTGAAAGTGTTGCAGCATAAGTTCAGTAAGGATATGCTATTGCTTTTGTTGAATGCAGAGGATGGTATCTGTCATGTTTAAGATAACAATTGCCAGTTTCATTGCAAGTATCTCTGATAAAGGAAGAGTTAAACCTTGTTTCTCAGATTATATCTGCAAAAACGTACTTACACTCCATACACTGGATGTCAGCATGCAAGGGATGAAATAGCATCATATACCACAAAATCATACAAATGAGTCCAGGAGTATCAAACATATTTCCTTCTCTGGAAAGAGATAATGAAACCTTCAGAAAGAAAAAGGAGAATATTAAAAAAAAATAAAGGAAAATCATGTTGAAGTGTACTTTGGTTTTGCAAAACTTAATTTTTAAAAATATTCCTTAGAAAAGCCAAGCAGAGGAGGTGCTTCAGGCACCTCTTCTTTGAACTAACTGAATAGCCATGATACTGCCTATAACAAAGTAGGTTGAGATAAAGAGGCCATGGACTCTCATGATGATAAATACACTCACTGTATTCAGTGCAGAGACCATGACTGACAATTACTTTTTTCCACATATCTATCCCAACTGTACCATCAGAAAGTCAGGTTTCTTGCTTTCTGATCCTGTGAGATCACAATGCTGCGCTGTTTATTAGCAGCTAGAATGGTGTTGATAACACACCAGTGTTTTGGCTGCTGCTGAGCAGTGCTGGCACAGCACCAGGGTTGTCTCTCCAACCCCATCCCACCAACTCTGCAGAGTCCAGTGGGACAGGGGTGAGCCAGAGGCTGGGAGGGAACATGGCCAGGACAGCTGACCCCAGCTTAGAGGGATATCCCATATCATATGGCATCATGTTCAGCAATAAAACCTGGGAGGAAGGAGGATTGAGATGGGATGAGGCATTTCTTGTGCAGACATTTGACTTCTAAAGCAACTGCCATGTGTACTGCAGCACCCTATTCCCAGGGAATGACTGGATATTGTCTGCTGAGGGGAAGTAGAGAATAAGAAAGAGGGGGGGAGTGAGAGAGCAGCTTGGTGAGCAGCTGGTGGCCAACCAAGGTCAGGGCACCACAGTATTTATTCCTGTCACAAATGGGTCTCCACTTTTCAAACTACATAACTCCCACTGGTCTTAGAGGTTTCCATCCATACAGAATAGTCTGCTTCAAATTTTATCTTGCTTCAGTGTCAGAAACCAAGGAGTCAGATGTTCCAGATCACTGTAGGCAATTTAAATTTCTAAGGAAGTGTGAGCATCTGCAAAGGGTGACTCTACATTCGTTCATGTGGTATGGAGGACTGAGCAAAGTTAGTCAAACACTGGAGTCAGCTCTTGTCAAACATTTCTCATCTTATGTACAATTTCCCTTTTCTCCAAGGAGGTTAAAACTCTTTGGAAAAGATTTCTCTATTCCCAGCTTTTTTTTTTTCCTACATGAAGAAGCAAGTCTGGTTAAATTTTCATTTGCTTTAGCACTGCCTAGCAGTGCAACTTTGTAGCAGCAATTTTCTTGATTACAGATAGTACTAAGAATAATTTTAAAACTGAATTAAATTCTTACAAACTCAAGAAAAAGAGAAACGTGGTAATATTTTGTTACTAATCAGCCCTTCTATATTAATTTTTATGGTCATCTCAGGATGCTGATTTCAAACTGACTCCACTTGTGGTGAAAGCAAAAACCCACCCTGATGTTCCAAGTCATTCTGTAATCTTGAATATTTTGAGAAGGCGAGTCACATTTCCTTGAAATTGGCTTGATGTGACATTTCCATCACGTCCCCAGGATTGAAGCTGGGCCTTGGGGTTGCAACAGAGACAGACTCTTCACTGTAACCTGCTTATCTCTTGCAGCATCCATATTTGTAAATCATCATGCTACAGTTAGGATGTGGCCAGGGCTGCTGGGAAGCGATACTGAAGAATCTCAAGTACAGGCAGTATGGAGGACTGGCCATTGAATTCTCTGTGAGATAGTGTCTCAACAGTTATTTCCACTGTCCCACGCTCCCAGGGACCACCCCAGCAATGCACATGAGAACCTTGAGACCTGTTGTCCTTCCAGTTAGCCTCTTAATCATATTTTCTCTGTTTTGGCCCTTCTGTTCAGTCACTCAACACTTTCCCCTTCCTTTCCTCATGTTCCTTTTCTAGGCATTTGTTTTCCTTTTCTTTGGCAACTGTCTGCTCTCCTTTCCTTTATTTTCTTTGTTTCATTTTTCTTGAGGTCTCCCTCTCTGCTCTGATTACTCCTGTTCTTTCAAAATCTCCCTCAGGTTTCCTACACATGAGTGCAGCCCCATCTTGCAGGTACCCTTCATGCTTTCTCATGGAAATGCTCATCTGGGACACTGCCATAGGAGTCATCCACAGCCCTGTCTGCTTAGAGGAGTGTTTGCTGCCATCATTGTCTCCACACTCTGGACATTTCATTGGACATGCAGTGGGAATAGCAGGGCCTGTAAGCATTCCCTTTCCTCATAAGAAATGATCACTCCAGCTGAATGCCCCAACACATAGCCAGGTGCTATGTTTTTTCTCTGCTTGGAGGCAGGATGGGCAATGTAGGAGCTGTGGTGAGCCCTGAACCATTCAGCTGAGCAATCCAGACCTTCTGTACAGTGTCCAAACAAGTGGCTCCGATCATATTTTTAGGAATTTCCAATCGTATTTTTAGGAATTTTCTGCCTCCAGGACCTCCATTCTCTCCCAGACTGGTCTTCTTCAGACAGGTGTGGTAAAGCTCTCTCTGGTCTGAAGTCACCTTAGTACTGAAGGTGCCAGAAAGAACACTCATGTCAAAATGATTGTGAGTGTTATTTGGAGGATTAGACCAGAAGAACCATACATATTCTGCTGTAAGCAATATTTCCTCATATTTCATCAAAATAGATTTTATTGGGATGAAAATGCCCAAACTGGATGATTTTTTCTGCCTTTCTTCTTTCCTCTTTCTCCCCTGGCCAGCCTCAGAAGTGTGTGTCTATCCTGCTACACAGGGGAGAGCCCCAAGGGTACTCAAGCACCTGTTTTCCAGACTCCTCAACTCTTAGCTCACTCCCTAGCTCTCTCCAGGGCAGTTTGTAATAAGCCCAGTCTATCCACCTTATCAATGTGTCAGAAGTGAAATACTGTCAGGTAACCTGTAGTGGTTTCTACAGAAAGCAGGCACTAAATATTGACTTAAGCACTCTCAATTCTTACCCTCTCAGTCCATTGTCTTTGCTCTTAGGCTGTGAGTACAGGATGGCACCAGAAAATGTCACCTGAGACCAGTGACTTACTTGCTTCAGTGTCTCTGGGAAAATTACACCTGCCCATGACACTCTTCCAGAAATGAAACTTTGTATTTTACTCATAGGGTAATGTGAGGATAAATGGATATTTATACATTGCCAAGATATGGAAAATATCATACACTGGCTAAACCTTCCTGGAAGCATTGAAATAGGAATAGAAGTCTTACAATGCATACCAAGCAATATTATTATCAAATTGCTGCCTAAATGCAACTATTCCAGTTTTTAGATCAGTATTCTGATTCCTGTAGATGCTACAAAACTGGGAGAAGTGGGTGCTATGCGACTATCTTTACTTCAGAGGGACCGGGAGAAGCTGGAGAAATGGGATGACAAGAATCTTTTGGAATTCAGCAAAGGAAGGTGCTGAGTCCTCTGCTTGGGGAGGAATATCCCCTGGCCCCAGCAGAGGCTGAGATCCACCTGGAAAGCATTTTGCAAAGAGCACAGGCTGACCATGGGCCAATGGTGTGCCCTTGCAGAACAGAAGATCAAAGGCACCCTGGGCTGTACGAGGCAGAGTGCTGCCAGCAGCTCAAGGGAGGTGTTCCTGCGGTGCCCTGTCTTGTTCTGGGACCCCCAGGAGAAGATATGGAGCTGCAGGAGGGAGTCCAGCAAAAGGGCTCTGGACACATGAGAAGAGGCTGAGAAATCCGGGGTTGTTCATCCCAGAGAGATGAAGACTCAGCAAGATGATATCCATGTGTACAAATACCCAGCTGTGGAGAATGAGGAAGAGCCAGGCTCTGCTCAGTGGTGACAACTGACTGGACAAGAAGCAATGGGCAAAAACTGAAATCATGGAAATTCCATTTAAACACAAGAAAACACCCTTTAACTGTGAGGTAGTCAACTGCTTGAACAGGTTTTCCAGGAAAGCTTTGAAGTCCCCAATGTTGGAGTTACTGGCTGGACAAAGCCCTGAGCAACCTGCTGTAGCTGACCCTGCTCTAAGCAGGGTTTGGGATAGGACAATTTCCAGAAGTGCCTTCCAGCCTCATCCATCCCATGATTTTGTGATCTACCTTTTTCTCCCCCCAAGAAATAGAAATCTACCTATTTCTAGTTAATTTATAGAAAGGGTACAGAAAATAGCATTTCTTTCACTTATTGAAAAATAGATGTCAGATAAAAAATGTCAAATAGTGCAATATATATCACAGACATTTCATAGTCTTCCTTGGATCTTACAGAAATCTTTACAAATTTTGTATTTACACATTTATACTTTTAATCAAATTGGTAAAAGAATCCTCAAAATATTCTATAGAATTCCTTAAACTCAAAGGACACTGATCCATATTTTGTACATATGCAAATATGACTGTACATAACAATCCCTGGAAAATATTTGTATCCTGCAAAAAATCTTCTGTGGCATAAAAAAATCAACACAGAACATAGAGAGACATACCTCCTCTTGAAAAACTCTCTTCATTTATCTTGTTTGATTTTGGTTCGCAGCAGCAAGGACACTTTAACGTGTAGTTGTAGTCACATACAGGAATCTGTAAATGTTTTGCTCTGCCAGTTTGCTTTGTTTTACTGCATGACAGTATTAAGTAACAAATGCTGCAAGTTAGAAAGCTGGTCACTTTATCATTTCCCTTACTGCTTTTGAGCTTCCTTAAGTTTCCTGATTGGCAGATGATAACAATTTCACACGAAGAGATCATGCAACTAACTCTTCCTTCCTCTTATATCTGATGATCTAAGCATTAATAGTCACAATATGCAAACACATTACCAAAAATACATAAATACTCAGCAGGGTCACAGTAGATCAACATGCTCATAGAAGTACCACCTCTGTATATGAACAGATTTTCATAAATAATATGTTCTGGGGATAAGAGCAGTTGTGTGTCACTGGTCCATGTTTAAAGTGACTGCCTGCCTATGCTGGTAATGGCCCCTGCAGAAGCCCAGGTTCTCCTTTGAGGAAGATCAGTCCTTAGCAGGTATATACAAACAGCCAAGTATACCAAAAAGTATCAAGACACTCAAGAGATGGCATGGGGGTCTTGTTAAGTAGAGCCTAAACAAACTTCTCATGTCTTGCATATTTGCAGGCAAAGAAATGCCAAGGAAAATACCAGACCCAAATTTCTGAACTTTCTCAGTGCTGACTATGGGTTGCTTTTGTTTAGTTCATCTTAGGCTACAATATCATGTTAGGTGAAAAGGTGCCTGACTGCAGAAATTAAAAGAAAATGTCCAAAGCATTTACCGAATAGCATAATGCTACATTTGCAAAAATCTTTGCAGTCATGTAAGTATGAGAGGCATAATCCATTTTATTTGCTTTAACTTTCAACAACTTCAGATGTGGCTCTGACTGTTAGTCACTTCCCCATTTGTTTTACATGACATCTGACATGCAGTTATGTAATCTGCATGTAATGGATTTTTTTTTTTATTTTCCTGCTGTTCTTGGATGCTTTTAGCAAACATTTAACATTTAAGGAGTTCATTTAACCCCTGCCTTCCACTCCCAACACAGGCACAATAGCAGGAAGGTGAAGAATTCCCTAGGCTTCTAAGGTGTGAGGGAGGATACTTAGTAGTTTGTCTGCTAAAGGAAGAACTATATTTAACCCTGGTATCATTGAACAAAAATTGTAGGGTGGGTTTGTTTGTTTGTTTTGCTAGTGTACACCCCCAGATCCACCAATAGCAAACTACAGACTTCAAATTTTAAACTTCTTTGCCTTTCAGTTCACTCTGCTCAGTTTTGCCCACCTTTACCAAGCGGTTCCCACTAGAAGGACATGTTAATATTATTTTCCTTTTCAAATCCTTGGGTGAAAACACTTAGGTAAGTGGAATGAGTAACAGTTTATATGGAATAATAATCCCAATATTACCGGGTGGGATGTGCCTGGGCTCGTTTAACCCTCACTGCTGGCCAAAGGCAGCAGCTGTGGTGTTTCACCTCAGAGATACCTTTGGCCGGCTGGATGCTGCAGCTGGGCACTCAGAACAAATCCAGGCATAGTAGGAACTCAGTTTACCTCTGGTGGAAAAGGTTCAGGTGACGGTGAAGAGAAACAGGAGAGGATTCTATCGTGGAGTTTTAATGCAGAGTTTTATTCCAGGATGACAGACCTCTGAATCTTGTAACAGCTCCCAACAGAATCCCGACCGTATGGTCCCGTCTCCTTTTAAGCCCGGGGACAGGGGGAGGGGAAAGGAGAGGTTGGCACACCTGGGGGTTGGGACAGGTGAAACAGGAAATGGCATCACACTGCAACAAGTTTAGTCACAGCATGTGTGAGGCAGGGCACAGCTGCAGAATTTTGTCTCTGGAACCACATACTGGCATTGGCTCAGTCCTTGTCAGCTTTTTCAGTACCTTGGGGACAGGACACGCATGTTTCAAATTTTCTACTCACTAAAGGATTTAATTTACTTATTTTATGCAGCCTAAAAAAAGCACATCTAGTACATGTGTAGTCCCAGTTCAATGTGATCTGAAATTGTCTATTCATCAACTATGCTCTACTGGGTACCACCACTCTCCTCAGTGGCCACTGCAAACTTGAATAACTTTTCTGAAGCACCATCCTTCCATGTCACACATATTTGTGATGCAAGGTGTGTGTCTGTGTGCCTGATTAATTTTGGAGAGGGGATTTGCATGCTGTTTTGTCTGGTGAGGTTTTAGGGTGATGTGAAGATGGTATTACAGTATCACCTGGCCAGTACCTTCAGGCTGCCCAAACAGTGGCTGAACAGTTTTATCTGATCCATTTGTAAGCTGTATGAGGAGTGGCTCACCATCCCTGGAAGTGTTCAAGAAATGACTGGATGTGGCACTGAGTTGCATGGCTTTGTTGAAAAGGTGGTGGTGTTAGGTCAAGAGTTGGACTCAATGATCTTGGAGGGCTTTTTCAACCTTGATCATTCTGTGATTCAAGGATTTTGCATTGTAGCCTAGACTACTTCATCAGGGTTCTATCTGTAACACCTTTCCTGAATCAGTTGAATATGTTATCCAACTCCAGGAGAAAAAAGAAAACAAATGAGAAGTTTGTTTAGGCTCTACTTGACAAGACCCCCATGCCATCTCTTGAGTGTCTTGATACTTTTGGCATGCTTTACTATTCCCTTCTGCAGGCTGAGCCACTGAATGGGTGTTCATAGATCATGGCTAGGTTTGGTGGACTGGAGCCAAACTATGCCTCACTCTGGCAATTTTTCCCAAGAGGAGAGTTGCTGTGCAAGGTTATATAAATCAGTGCAGCCTGTTACAGCCCCACCACCCTTTTAGCAAGTTACTGTGAGCATTTCCACTCTGACCACTGCTGCATACTGGGAAAAATACATAAATGGTTTGCAAGTGTGACCATCATGAATTCAGCCTCTTTTAGGAATTTGTTTTGTTGTTCTGACCTGCTGCAAAAAGCTTCCCAGGTGAGTCTTTGACCAGCATGTAATCATTAACTGTGTCAAAGGCAATAGGTGTGCCAAGAGCTGTTTGTGTTCAGCCACGGTATAAGCTGAAGAAAGTACAGCGTTGCTCCCCAGCACTGAAACATGTCCAGGAACAACTGTTCCCAGCATTAGTTCAGCCAGGATTTACAAGTAATGTCCTGAACAGCTCCTGGACATAGTCCAGAGGTTAGCTCAGGCCAGGGCTAATTTCTAAAGGTAGTTTGCATGTGTCCACTTCATTTAGGGATTTAAGAGTGTGTCTGGACTCTTATATATAAATTGGCCCCTGTGCAAGGAAATAGTCCCAGGAATGTTTAGTCTAATAATAAAACATCTAGTACCATTATAAAATTAGTCTAATAATCCAATAGCAATGTTCAAATGTCTAATGTAAAAATCTGAATGAATCTCATTTTTTTAGTTGCCCATGTGTACTTGAAGAACTCCAAAGAAACTTCTAGTATGAACTGACCCATTTTTGACAGTAAAACAATGAAATTCAGGGATCAGAATTTAAAAAAAATTATTCATCTCAATAAATTAATCATTAATCTTTTTCATATGAGACAGAAACACAATTATTTTTTCTTAAGATTAAAGCATAACTAAAACTTGCTGAATAAAATATTCCAATCATATTTACAAAATAGAAGATATCCAATAAGTGCAACTTACCCAATGAGTTAAAATTAGCCAAAACTAAAAGCAAATACAATGGCATTTAAAAAGATTGCATATAAGGTATCATTCTATCTTGGCTGCATCATGCTTTTATACAAGGAAAAGGAGAAAGTAAAGAAAGCCTATATATTATTTCAGACTTTCCACAGGGATATACAATTGTCTAAGAAATGCACTTTCAGACTCCTCCATTTTTCTTGGTTATCTCACGATGTCAGTAACTAATACTATCTCTTCATTTTCAGATGTTGTTGACTGTATTTTGCTCTCCATCAGCTGAAAGGAAAATAAAAACTTCCATCAGTTTTATACCAAATGTTAGGTTAGCCTCTACTTATGCACAATTCTGAGAGTATTTCACCTGTTTTCGCTGTGTGTCCACAAAGTCTGTTCTGTTTCCTTACAAAATCCTGTTTGGAACTGTTTTCTGTGTTTCTGTGTTATTTTATTTCCTGCACATGTAACTTGCTAGTGGGTAAGTAGACAAGGTGTGCACCTGGAGGGATTCAAGGGGACAGCTTGGAGAGGGTGACCTGGGGGGACACAGGGCTCAGACACTGGGATCAGGTGTGAGGAACTTTATGGTGGTTGTAGATGAAGAGAGCCAGGAGATGTGCTAATCTCACTGGCAAATTCAGCCCTGCTCGGCTGGGGGGTAGCAAGGGGACTGTGATGTCCAGGACCCTATTTTAGAGACTGCTGCTGGTGCTGATGAAGTGCTGGTAGAGGCAGCTGTGCTGGTTTTGTTTCTGGCTGCCTCACTGTGCCCTCTTGTGTCATTGTCCATGTTCTTTGTTTTGGGAAAGTGAACAGCCCCTCCTGCTGCCTGGATCTACCAATGGGAGCATCAGCCTGTGCACCTCTGAGACTGGAATGGGAGAAACCCCGTGGTTCTGGAGGAGCACTGCATTTGACTTCCCTTAAAAAACTCTCCTGCTGATTTTCTTTTATTTTTATTCAGAATATGGCAAAGAGAAGAGCGATCCTCTGTAATAAGTTCCTTATCATTTAAAAATTCAGCTGGTAGAGTCTTGTGTGTATTTCACACATTTAATTTAAAAATAGAAAGAGAACATACTTCTGGATTTGTATCAGCCAGTGTGAAAAAAGCAGGTTTTGGTCCTGGGATCTGTGGAAATACTGCCTTCCAACAGCCAGTCCTGGAAATCAAAACGTATTTAATACAAAATTAAAATTGTATAACCATAATGTGACAACACCATTGCATCCTTGAAACTGCTCTTATCTTCCTCTTCACTCTTAGAAGTAAACTGAAAAATACACATAATCTCAATACAGAATGAATGTATATCAGGAAAACATTAAGAATTTAGAAGGTAATAGATAAATTTTTTGATTGAAGATTTACTAGTAGTAAATTTCCTTCTTAGAGAAAGAAATTTGTCCTGCTATTTCACT